TGGGAACTGCCCAGCCGGGTGGGTGGGGTGTCACAGGTGGGCTAGGCGCTGTGAGTGTATCAGCCGTGAGGCTGCTGGGTTTGGGATCGAGGAGGCGAGTCGGGAGTGAAGTAAAGGCAAATTTACTTATAGCTTGGCATACAACAGTTAACAGAAAGGTTAATGCGACAAACAGATAGTACAGTAATAAAGAGCTAATAGTGAATGATAACAACAGATAGAATGACAAAGAGTTCCCACGTGGGGCTGGCAACTTATTGGCAGTCCCTCTATGCCAGGTGCATGCCAAGTTGTTCCAGTGAAGTCAGGTGTCCCTGATCAATGCTGTCTGAGGGGTCACCGGGAAGATCCCTTGGTCAGGATCCGGTCCTTACTCACACTGGGAGTCCGGGGTTCAGGCTTGGTACAGCAACGGTCCTTCTGTCCTGTCCTTCTAACTGGTCACTTGACATGCACGTTCCTTTATGCCTTATCTTACCTAATCTGTTTGCTTTAGAGCCACTCGCACTCTTGCCCTATAGCTGTTACCCTATGGGATCAAAAGGTGTTAGAAATTATCATGAAAGGTTACCACCTGAACTCGGGTTCACCCAATAAGCAAATTATACCACATTACTTTGAGGCTTGAAATTAGCATTACCTGATTCCTAGGAATGTGCTAATAATATTAGGTGGTTAGACCTTGTTATAGCTTGACCTTTAAAAAAACTAGCTTTTAGATCAACTAATCTTATAGTTCTGCTTGTTTTTGGGGCCCATGATCAGTGCAAACAGTTAGTTAGAATCAACACTTTGGTTAAATTGTGACAGACAAATTCCACTTGCAGGTTGCAAATTTACAAGCTTTGCATTAGCTAATCTTAACTGCTTAGACAATTGCCTGAATGTCTCCAAGAGCATATATTTATTGCTCATGATAGTAACCCCTCTGGTTCTAGCCACCACAGTGTTCCTTCACAAGGTCAGCTTCGATGGATGGTAAGGAATCTTTCTTACCCAGCTTCCCTTCAATCATTAGGTTGCTGATTAGGTCATCCCTGGTTGCTAGTACCAGGTCGGGCAGCACTTTACCTCTTGTCGGCCCGTAGACTTCCTGCATCAGATAGAGGTCATCCATGCATGAGAGAAAGCTTTGTGCCCACTCAGATTTGGCTGAGTGCTCCTCCCACTACAGTCTGGGTAGTTAAAGTCTCCCATGACAACCATACACCGGGAGCGTGCGGCCTCAGCCAGTTCCCTGGCAAACTCCTGGTTAAGATCTTGACCCTGGGTAGGGGGTCTGTAGTAGACTCCCACCATAGTATCTCCTGTGCTGTGTTCTCTATGGATTTTAACCCAAAGGGTCTCAAGTCCACCATGGGTGCCAATGTCGGCTTGCAGGGACGTGTAGTTTTCCTTGACAGAGAGAGCTACGCCCCCGCCCCTTTTTTCCACTCGGTCCCTCCTGTACAGGGTATAGCTGTCTATACCTGTGGCCCAGTCATGGGTGGAGTCCCACCAGGTCTCCATTATCCCAGTGACATCATAGTTATTTGCGTTTAGCAGGAGGACAATTTCCTCCTGTTTGTTTTTCCCCAAGCTCCTGGCATTTGCGTATAGGCATGCAAGTGTCCCCTTGGGGGCCCTTGCCTTGCCTACAGTTCATTTCAGGGTTGAGGCAGGGGTGGGCTTCCTTAAGTGCCTTGGTCTGCCAGCTTTGCAAGGGTTGCTCAGCAGGCCAGCAGTGGTGGTAGTCCCTCTATCACCCGGCGGGCTTAGTTTTAAAGCCTGGTGGAGCAGGTCAGCCAGTCTGGCTGAGAAGAGCCTCCTCCCCAGTGGAGAGAGGTGGAGGCCATCCCTTCCCAGCAGCTCGCTGCCTCTCTCACCAAAGAGTGGGCTGTGGTCATGGAAGCCAAAGCCTTCCCGATGACACCAGCGCCGCAGTCCTTGGTTAACTACCTGGATCCTCCTCAGCCCGTAGCCTGAGAGTGGGAGGATCGAAGAAAAAACCACCTGCACCCCCAGAAATATATATCTATATAGATATACATAAAAAAATAAAAACTAACTATCCGGGGCCATATTTAACTCTGGCAACTTCCCAGGGCTGCTCGTTGACTTCAGATTAAGTTAAGGTTGAGTTTACTCCAGAAGTCTTGGGCACAGCAAGACGTGCTTACGTGGACTGTAGCAACCCTTTGCCTTGCACCTGAGCCATGCTGAATCAACATACCTTTTGCCCTTCGGGTGAACATGCCTCTCTCCTTTTCCTGTTGCCTATTTCTGGGATCTGTGCCAGCCAAATGTCTCCACTCTACAAAATGTAGAGAAGGTTATAGAAACTTGATGCTTATGTTATCTACTAGTAAAAGTGCAGGTTAAAGGTTCCCATCTATATTTTCCTCATGAGAGAGACTCTTTTTACCATTGAACTTTTTACCACTGTCTCAGTATGTTGATTATGGTAGGCCAGGGGTGGGCTGCTTAGTGGGTTTTGGTGAGCTGTGGAGGGCCACAAGGGTAGCCCCACTCCTTGACTGACACCCCCAAGTCCCCCCTAACCCCTGACCATTGTCACTGGAAGTCACTCCCTTTGTTCTGGAAGTACTCCTTTTGGGGGGAGAGGGAGCTTGATATCTTGGAACTGGAAAAAAATCAAATCGTACACTAAAAAACCAAACATCTATAACTTTATTTTATTTAAAAAATATATTTTTTTCCTGATTTACGTGTCTGCATATTATATATAGAAATGATTACATAATAGCTCAAAATACTTCTGTATATTGGGTGTGGAGGGTGTGGGGTATGGTGGGTTAGCAGCAAGAGGCCCTGCCTGGCCCTATAGCGCACAGCTCCCCACACTCCCACCCCAGTCCCCAGACACAGGTAATGGCAGCATGCGGGGCCAGCCTCACCCAGCCCCATAGTGCTTCTGCCCCAGTTGCTGGCCAAGCATGGTGGCAGTGTGTGGGGCCAGCCCCACCCAGCCCCATAGTGTGCAGCTCCTGCGCTCCCACCCCAGTCCCTGGCTGCATGTGGCAGCAGCAAATGGGATCAGCCTAACCTGACCCATGGCAATCCTGCCTGAGTCAGCCTTACATTGGGGGCAGTGTGCAGGGCCAACCCGGCCTGGCACCGTACTGCATAGCTCTCTGTGCTCCCAACCTCCTTTCCCCCAGTGGAGTCCCTGGCCCCAGGGTGGGAGGGCTGGGGAATAGCCATGGAGTCACCACTCAAAAGCCTCCGTCAGGCGGAAGTTTCTTGTCTCCATCGCTCTCTACCTTGGGGCTGGGGGTGGGTCAGGCCAAGCTGGGATGGGGGGGCGGTTGCTTAACAACCGGAGCCGCACCTCTTATGATAATTATTTTGGTTTATGGAGGGGCATCAAGGGCTAGATGGAATTGCCTGGTGGGCTGGATGTGGCCTGCAGGCTGTATTTTGCCCACCCTTGGGGTAGGCTGAGCTAGAGACCCATGACACTTTTTAGCTGTACAGGTCCATGCAGTTAGCTGTGAAATTCCCAATGCTTTTACAAAGCGTGCACTGTGCAGAGACGGTGATTACTGATCCTATTTGATCCGTGTCCTTTTTAAGGTTGTGTGTGTGTGTGTGTGTGTGGTTTTTTTTGTTTTTGTTTTTTTTTTATAAAACTTTTCTTCCGTTTGTTTTCATGTATCCTTTCCTTCTTTGGTCAAACTGTGTCTGTAGAAGCCCACTCAACAAAGGGAATGAAATGGTGAATAATGAAATAGCAGTGCAAATGGACTTCTGGGTGAAAGACATTTCTCTTTTCCAACGATGTCCACAGAGGTTGACTTTTCTGTCCTTTAAAGCACCTAACCTTTATTACTTTATGCTTGACTAACTCGGTCTTTTCCCTTTTGGCTGCATTGCTTGGATGAATTTAACAAAAGCTAGAATGTGTAGTTGCTTCAGATTTCAATCTTGTTTTTTGTCTTTAGTCATCAAACTAAGCATTAAGGTACTCATGTACACATACGCATGGTTGTGAGGAAAGTTTAAAAAGTATTTCATTTTTTTTCCAAACAGTGGACAGAGAGCTGTGTTTTCAAGACACATATGCTTTCTACCAGTTCTCAGCTGATGAATGTACCTACCTTTTCTGTGAATTCGAAAGAGATGAAGAATGGCAAAATGGTGTAAAACTCTTGTTGCAACTAGTGCCCCTTACTCCACCCAGGATTACTGCATGCAACCTGTAAGCATATCCTCTTTTCAACTTTATGGAATGCTCTGTAAATGACTGGGTTAAAACGAAAGACTTTGCACAGAACTGTGTACAAATGTAATAACTCCCATTTTAGGGTGCCTTCTAGCATAAATAGGTTTCATGATACTTAGCATCATGATTAGAATTATAGAAAATCAGTGCAGTCAAATGCAGAGAGCACCCAGCTCTTACTTTAACTTGCCATGTGACTTTAGGAAAGTTATTACACTCTTTTGTGCTTCTTTATTCCTCCTTATTCTTTGTCTGTCTTGCCTATTTAGAGCAGAAGATTTATGAAGTTGGGACTGTGTTTCTGTAAAGCTCCCATCATAACGAGGTGTCAGTCTTGATATTTTATTTCAAATAATTAATATTATTACTGAAACGCAAGTAATAACTGTCCTCTTTGCTGGTAGAGATACTTTTCTCTAAAATTTCTTTTCCTACTTCTTGACTTTTAAGAGGATCTTCAATACAGCAAATTTCTAATAGCAACATTAGAAATGAGCAGAATGGTCCTGTTTCTTTGGACCCTGACTTTCAAACTTAGGTCTCTAAATTTGGATAGTATAACAATTAGCCTGCTTTGTAGAGGTGCTTAGGAAAGCTGACCTGAATTTTTCCAACAAAATGCTCAGACCAGGGACTTCAGCATGGGCTTGTACCTTTTGCAGGTAAGTCCTTTGCCTACCAGGATACTCCAGAGTTCTGCCAGGGGTTCTCTTGATCTCTCCATTCAAATGGTTCGTTTTTTTTATAGATATTCCTGGGACACACTGACTATACCTCAGTGGTAACAGCACCATATGCACACAGGTTGAGCAGGGACCTCCCCTGCTTGGCATATAGATGCAGCAGATCTATATGCCAAGGGGGGAGCATTTTCGCAAAATAAAATGTTTGGTTTTTAGGCAGCCTCAGGGGTGGGCAACTCTCACTGATCTGCAGTAAGACTTTCCTTTTGACTTTTAGTGGGAGTTGTGGTCTTTATTATCTTTGAAATTCAGGCCATTGGTTCATGCCTATTCTCCTGAAGGTTTTGAATCAAATGGATACACCAGAAAGTTCTGATGTGTACTCTGTGTGAAGAATGCTGGGAAGGAAGATGGACTGGAAGATTTTTATAGTCCTACTGTTTCAGTATTAACTGTCATTTCTAATGCAAGTTGTTACTTGTCTTATGTTCTATATGGTTATTCATTAATGTACATCTCTGGCTTATTCCTGCTCACTTTATTCAAATTGTAGTTGAAGTTGGTTTTCTTTGGGGAGCACTGTCACTGAAGACTTATTTTCAGAAGGCTTTCCATGTCACATTGTCAGGGTTTCTTTTTTTAATAAATATTGAAGGAAGAGAGTTTTGAATAATGGTATCAGCCTCGGGAGGATGATATTAAATAGAAAGTAGGTTTTTCCAATTTCAAAATTTTCACTGCTTGATGTGAATAATAACCTGCTAAAATATAATTCTTAAACAAATAATGGATACTATGCATGGTTTTGACCAAAGTTAACTGTTTGCTCTAAATAAACTAAAAAGCCATGTTTTACTTCAAGGCAAAAAGCAATTCTGAAAAATCACTTGGCCTGAGATTTTTGTAAGCATTTGTCTATATATATGCACTATTTTTTTTCTTTATAAATTAAGCTCATTAGAGAAAAAAGGTAGGAGTAGGAGCAAGGAAGAGCTGATAGATGGATGCAGACAGATGGTGAAGCATAAATGAACCAGTGTTTTCTTTCTCCAACTCCTTTTTTTTCTTTGCTCATACTCAGAGAGTCTACACACATACTGTTTCAGAAACTGAGTAAGACTACAGTTACAGATTGATATCTGCTATAGTTAGTTTTGCTGTGATAGACTTATACCAGGAATGATTTGTCCCATTAAACTTAGAGTTTGGATGCCATCGTTTTCTTCATTCACGTAGGAAGCCTATACACAAGTGCGGAGGCTGCTCTGACGTGCTGGAATTCCAGTGTGTTGGAGCAGACTCAGTTAATAGAGTCTGCTGGAGCATGGCAAAAGCATTCTCCAGCAGCCTCCTGCATCTCGTGTATCAGTGTCCCCATGCTTAAAATGGCTGCATGGGCACTTGAGCTAAAGTTTGTTTTAGCCCTGCTTTAGTTCAAGCACCCCTGCTACCATTTTTAAGTGCGGGGACACTGATACATAAGATTCAACAGCACTTTAATTAGAGCAGCTCCAAGCATATAGAGTCTATAGACAAATGCTTACAAACATCTCAGTGATTGTCCCCATCTCAGTGATTGTCAGAATTGCTCTTGGAGCAGCTCTAATTAAAGCACCTCCTCCCACTCCCCCCTCTCCCCCCCACTGGAGCATGTGCAAAAGTGCCCATAGATTTAACTTATGTGTCTTTTCTGGGGGGAAAAATACATATTGAAACTACTCCTGCCTACAGTTGTGACCAGTTAGTGCTGGTGATTTCATCATTAGTAAATGCTTGCCCATACAACAATTCCACAGTCCAACACTAGGGTTGCATGGGCAAGTATTTAGAAGTTAGGAGAGGTTACACTTGAACTTTTCACTTTGCTTTTTGTGCTCTTATTGCAGTAATTGGAAAAAAAACATGTAATCATGTAATTTCAATTAGCATTATATAAAAGATAATTTCCCCCTTCTATAATATAATCAGACACATTCATGTGCTTAAATCTTTGCAGAAACAGGACATTTCATATAGGCTGCTTGCAGATGTGGGAAAAAAAAAGAAATGGTGCTTTACTTTAAATTCAGTGCACCACCACGCCAAGTCAAGCTTGTGCCCAGAAAAGCCATTGCGTTAGTTCAGGGGTGTCCAACCTTTTTGAATGTGGGGCCGGATCACGAACTTTTTATCGCCCAGTAGCCCAACGAGCCACATTCAAAGATGTCACAGGAAGTGGTATCATATCAGGAAGTGATGTCAGGTGACCTATGACACCAATGAAGTTCCAGGGGTTGACCTGGCATGCATGCCTGGGTTGACATGGTGCTGCAGGACCCGCCTGGGCAGAACCAGGTTGGCATTGGCTAGGAAAAGGAGCATGCAGCTGAAGCCAGCTTCCCATGTGCTGCTGGGGATGAGAGGAGGCTGGCCAGGTCTGCACCGGCCAGCAGAAGCAGCGGCGGAGCCGTGTGCCGCTCGGGACTGACTGGTGCAGCGTCGTCCCGTCCTGAGCGGTACATGGCTCTGCCGCCACTTCTGCTGGCTGGTGCAGACCCAGCCAGGCTCCTCCCATCCCCAGCAGCACATGAGAAGCGGCCCCCTTGGGACCTCGCGCGCGGGCGGCTGAGCCCGGAGAGCTGCAGCGCCTGGGGGGAGACTGGCTGGGGGAGCAGGCACTGCCTTGCTGTGGGGCAGGGCAGCGGGACTGGCTCGAAGCTTTCCAGACATCTGCTGGGAGGAGCAGACAGCCAGGTCTGACTGCTCACGCAGGTTCTTAACTGACATACAGGACCTCCATCTAACCCAGGAGGTACACAGCCCCACCAGGGGAGACGCCTTGTTGGATTTGGTCCTGGCCACAGGCGATGACCTGGTACGGGGTCTGCGGGTGCTCAACCACCTGGGCCATAGTGATCATCATCTGCTGGACTTCACCATCCAGCGCAAGATGGCAAAAGCCTCCAGGAAGGCAGCAGCCCTCGACTTCAGGAGGGCAGACTTTAACGAGGTGAGAAAACTAGTGGGGGAAGCACTGAGGTCCCAGAGCAGGAGGAAGTTGAGTGTCCAGGAGGAGTGGTCCTTTCCTTAAGGAGACGATCCTTCAAGCTCAAAGGGAAGTAATCCCTGCATGAGTCAAAGGGGGCAAGAGGGCGCAAAGGCCCCCATGGCTCACCAAAAGCATCCGGGAACGTCTCCAAACAAAAAAGGAGGCGTACACCCGTTGGAAAGGAGAGGCCATCTCAAGAAAGGGCTATACCTCAGTAGCTCGGGAATGTAGGGGGGCGGTCAGGAAGGCCAAGGTGGAAATGGAGCTGGGACTAGCGACCCAGATCAAAGACAACAAGAAGTCCTTTTTCAAATACATAGGGGGACAAAAGAGGTGCCAGGTAACGTGGTGCCTCTGCAGGACATGCTAGGAAATCTGGTCACCTCACCTGACGGTAAAGCTGACATATATTCAACAATTTCTTTGCCTCCATATTTCTGAGGAGGGACCTGGATATCTCCCCCACTGGCACCCCCGAGGGCCCTGTGGGTGGCACACCCAGGCCTAGGGTTAATGAGGACCTTGTCAGGAAACTTCTGGAGGGACTAGATGTATTTAAATCCTCAGGTCCTGATGATCTCCACCCCAGAGTGCTGAGGGAACTAGTAGGGGTCATTGCGGGACCTCTGGCACAGCTCTACGAGCACTCATGGCGCTTGGGCGATGTGCCGTAGGACTGGAAAAGGGCCAATGTGGTCTCCATCTTCAAAAAAGGGAGGAAGGAGGGCCCAGGAAACTATGGGCCTGTGAGTCTTACCTCGGTCCTGGGGAAGCTTTTCGAAAGAATTACCTTGGCATGTGTCCAGGAAGGGTCAGCAGGGGAGGTTATGCTCAGGGGCAACCAGCATGGGTTCATTAGGGGCAGGTCTTGTCAAGCCAACCTGGTGGCCTTCTAGGACCAGGTCACCAAGTCCTTGGATGCAGGTGTCGCGGTGGATATAGTCTTTCTGGACTTCAGGAAGGCCTTCGACAC